TATATATATATCCAATAAAAAAGTCATTATATATGAAAATGTACTAGTAAAAAATATGTGATTAAAATAATACTTTTATTTCATTTAAAGTGAGAATAATTACGTAGAAAAAAAAAGTTAAACTATATAATAAAAATATAATTCTGAGATAAATTCACTACAAATTTATCATTTAAAAACATTAAAAAAATGGATTGGAAAGTTGACCTATCGAGTTAGTGGGTTGAACCCGTCCATTTTGACGGGTTCAACGAGATAGATTGGGTCCAACCCAACCTATCAAAATTAGGCAGGTTGACCCACTAAATTTAGTCAACATTATCATGCCTAGCTTTGAGTGAGCTAGCACAAAAGCCTGAAGCACCATGAATTTGAATGCTTTGAACTAGCTAACACATCAATGTCAATGTGGATATATCATTAAGCTTGCTTAAGTGAGTCAACTTTATCGCTTCAGTGGCCTATGAAAAAAATAAAAACAAAAAATAAACATTTTTAGAACTTTATAAAATTAAGGCTCAAGAGAATAGAGAGACACTTCACATATTATACATTTTAGAGAAATTTGAGAGAATAGAGTGATTAGCATTAGCCATCATAGAGTTCTTGAAAGTCTGTATGTTTCTTTGTGTGATCTTATTAGCCATGAGTGACTAATTCACTTGTTGTTGGGGTTGATGTAGCTATCCTAGTCCATGTAATTCTTCTTGTTCTTATTCAATTGATGTTTTTATTCAGTTAATTGTTATTCTTCTCTTAGTATGTGTCTTAGTTTGGTTGTCCTCTGCATGATTCCATAAAATTAATTGAGGTTAGGAAACCCTTTGAAATTATGATTTAGAAAATAACACTAATAACATTTATTACTAGGAATATAATAAATCTTATTAATCAACTTTTATGTCCATGATCTTAATACGAATTGCTTAATAAACTTTACCAAGAAATTGAGATATGTCTTAAGGAATTTTGAATTTCTCATCTAAAAAATTAGAGTTTAAGTAAATTTGAGGAATTTTGAATTAACTTGGTAATTTTTAAGTTGAATAATAATTAAGAAAGATGTGTATGAGGAAAATTAGTAAAATCAATCTTTGGCATCTCTTATTATAAACTTTCAATTATCTTTTAACTTATTTTCTTATTCTTGAAACCCTTAAAATACGTTTGTTACTTTTTATGCATTCTTTAAACATATATATCTTTTTATTTTACCTAGTTAGCATTAAATTATATTAATTGGTTCTTACACAAGTTCATATAAATTTGATACCCAAATTTTTATCTATTTTGCTGCTTGCAAATCTATTTTACTACTTGTATCAATTAGTAAAGTTGTCAAAAGTCGTATACCATAAATGACATGATGTTTAGTCTATTTTGATTTTGTGAAAATCATGAGAAGGTATTTGGTTATGTTGAAATAGCATTGTTAGGTATTTAACCTGACTAGTTGAAAGGATAATACTTGCGCAAACATGTAATCAATGAGAATATATATGTGCACGTAGCGAGCGAGTCATCTCCATGACACAAATCAACCTCCTTTGAAGAAGTGGCCTTTGGAAACAATAGCTTTCGAAGTACTCGTCTCATATATAAACAAAAACAAAACTATACTATTTAAGAAAGTTAAGTAACATTATTTAATTATATCAAATTCAATTAAAGAATAAAATTTTTTCTTCAACTACCCTTCTATTGAAAATTGATATCAAAAAGAAAATGAATCGTTGGATTATTTGGATATAATACGTCAAATAAATGAAATATATTTTACTGAAGGTAACATTAAATAAAGTCATGCTAAGTAAATTTACTTATATGAGCCCAAGCACCCATATGAATATTTTTTATTTTACTTACCGGAGAGTATTCTAGTGAGTAAACTTTAGGTTGCCTATGCATTACTACCTACATTATGATAGACCCTATATGGAAAAAGTTTATCAGACATGTTATCCTCCACATCAAACTGTATAGGAATTTAATTAAAATTTTAAATAATATTTTTAAGTATTTTTAGATATAAAAACTTAATTAAAAACTACGTAAAACTATAAGAACGTACAAATAAATTTAGTCTAAAAAAGATAATAATATCTCAAACTTTTAACAGCCCAAACAATTGCTTAAAGCTACAAACTAAAATCAAGAACAGAAGTGAACTAAAAATTAGCTGTTATCTACAAATATGTTACAAATATTCGATGGATTTCAGCTATGAAATAAAGTAATGACTTAAATATGTTTTCCATCAAATAAATATAACAACTCTTGTTTTAGTTCCATACAATGCATCCAAATAATATTATTCATCGTCACTAGTTTTGTTCCCCACCTTGACGATAGAAACTAAACAGAATCCTCTATTTTTCAGGGGCATAATGGCAGGAACTAAAATCTTATGTAATACAACTTTTATCCATTAAATTATTATACCATAAAAAATATCTAATACAATCGTATGTAAAACAGCTGCCTTGAAAAACCATTAAATTATTATACTATTTTTACTACCAAAAAAAAAAAAAAAAAAAGCTTATCTATTACAAAAAGTGAGAGCCATTTACTTCCTACACGGTACAAATACAATATGACCCACAATCCACCACTTCACATAACCGAATTATTATTTGATGAATTTTTCCCCCTAAACCCCACAACATTGAGTTTAGAGTTTGTAGATTTAGTGGCACTGACCATTTTACTTGTTTGCTTATTCTCTGAAGCTTTTCTCACGCTACTTGCACTGGAAGATTTTACAGATTTTGAAACGTTAATCCCTTTCTTCATGGATTTGAATGGTGACCCTTTACCAGATTTCATACCTGACCCATTATTCCCTGAACTGGCACGACTACCATATTTTCCCTTAACTTTTGAAACTTTAACCAATCTTTTGCTCTTTCCCTTCTGCTCAGTGCTTTGTGTCCTTGCGTCCCTTCGCACACTATCTTTTGTTATAGCCTCCAAACTCTCATTCTTCTTTATTGCTTCCTCTATTTTTCTGGCCAAATCCAAGTCCTTTTTAGCAACCAAACTTGTTACCTTCCCTGCAAGAGAAAATTGAATTTTAGTTCTTCCTAATACAGCAAATTTGTAAGTCACAATCCAAAGCCCAATATATACAAACTGTAAGCTAAATTATGATCAGTCGGACACGCAAGGCAGCATGAATTTGGTACACAACAATATGAGAAGAAACCTTGTATAACCCAAAATGATACATATCTAGATCTTTAGTTTTTCTTTTCTTTGATACATGATGAGATCTTTCATACTGCAGTCAGAAATACTGCATGAAGATACTTGCATCAGAGCACAGTAATTCATTTTGTTATTCTTCTATTTATAAAGCAATATCAAGGCGATCGTAATTTGAGTAAAAGTTTGGTTGCAAAGTGTATATGCAAGAACTTTGATTGCACTCCCATTTTTACAAAATTAAAAGACAAAAAAACTTGTAGATGAAAAGAACAAGATTATCAATTTGATTAAACTGATGAACATGATATAAGAATTTGTTACCTTTTGCACCCATGCGAGCAGTTCTGCCTGTGCGATGAAGATAGTCAATCTAAAATAGAAAGGAAAAGGAATATTTTGTAACCAATTAATATCAAGAAAGGAAGGTAAGAATAGGTATTCAGTGACCCAATAGACCACTTATTAAATTAATAGATATGATGCTCACGGAATTCAAGGGGAAGTCAAACATGACAACATGATCTACATCCATGTCCAGACCCCTAGCAGCCAAGTCCGTGCAAACCAATGTAGGACAATCATCACCATCACTCTTAAACTTTCTGAGATTTTCAACCCTGGACTCAAGAAAAGCAATACAGATAAGTGGGCATAACAGAAAACAGAGATCTACATTGTTTTGCCCATTCTTTCTCTATTTTCTTTGTTAAGTAATTCTTTACATATGATATTGGCTATTATTTAATACAAACATCTGCCTGTGTGGACTTTAAACACATTTTGTGAACTAATATTCACTTTTATGAGCAAGCATAAGATGCAATGTCGGCACCTACATGTGTGTCTAAGTCTTAATAGTTACACAAAAGGAAGTTTAATACAAACATCTGCATGTATGGACTTTAAACACATTTTGTGAACTAGTATTCACTCTTATGAGCAAGCATGAGATGCAGTGTAGCACCTACACATGTGTTTAAGTCGTAATAGCTACGCACAAGGAAGTTCAATTCAGTAGTCAACAACAAATTAGCATGATTCATCAACCTGAGTGTCACGGAAGTCACAATTATGCTAAAGTAACAAGTCATTCAAGATAATTAGTAAATTTTTCTTGGTTAAGTTTGCAGTTATTTGCGATGTTCCCAAAGCAAAGGGTATTGTTGTCTCATAGTTACTAGTTGTCATAATTTTATCATAAAATAAGTGTGGAGTCACTGTTTTGTTGAACATTTAATAGAAATCTCATTTGTAAAATATATTTTACATTTTTCACTTTCAATTACATCTTATGCATGCATTGGATTTCTTTAATGTGAGGAGATGCAACACTGATTTGAAATAAAGTACCTACCTTGCAAACTTAACCCAGTTCAAATCAACTTTGGATACACCCTTTCTCACCTTACATATCTCCTACTTTAGAGTTTAGAGGAGTCAAATCATGTTTCCCTCTAATCTCTAAAATTTTAACAGTTACAATGTGCCTATATCTAGGCAGCTTAATTCTGCACCACAACAATATAAATGGGGACAAGTAGACAAGAATCTCAATATAGTATATTACCTTTGCTCTGCTGGTACCTCCCCATGGTAGTTCACAGTAGAAATCTGATTTTCAGCAAGATAATGATCCACAGCACGACTTGAGTCCAATGTATTGCAGAAAACCATCACCTTGTTGCCTTTTGCTAGGCTTGGCTCTAGTACCTACCATCACAAGATCACAAAACATATAATGAAAACCCAGTGAATTCAGAAAACATCCAAGCCAACCAGAACAATGAATAGTGACAAGCACATGTAGACTAAGTTGTCAAACTTGAAACAATTCCAAAGTACAAGATTATAAAAGAAACACCCCAACCCGTAAGCCAACCCAGCTCACCACAGGTTGAACTCATTTGAATTGTGAACTAAGTATGCTTGGCCAAATTGACCTAGGTTCTTGGCGAGTCAGATTGACTCGCGTGCAGACTAGGATTTGAAAGAAAAACATGTACCATGATTTCATTACAAGACAGCAAAAACTGATGAAAATGTTGAATGTGTTGTGAACAGACAATGAAAGAAAAACTTTAAATAAAGTACATGTTTTTTCATATATGAGGAAAATATATTTTGCATTTTGCTTATAAAATAGCCCAATCACTGAACATAATTTGGACATCCTTCCCAAAGGAAAACCTTGTGTGGCAACACAAATAAAAATGGAACAATGCAATAGTAGAATATTGAGTGTTAAAGATTTGGCTATACAAACACTCATCACTGGTTCCAATAAAAAATATTTCAATCTCATGTTCTACTTCTACACATCTTAACACAACCAATAAATATCAACCCTTGGTTGATATATACAACAAAAATGCCAAATGCAGGGGTATACCTGAAGTAATGCTTCAAGCTTGTTCTCAGAACCTGAAAGTTTAATAAAATCATGGCGAGCCGACGAAATCTTTTTATGTAATGTTGATGTGCGCAGATGAACAATGCCTTGAAACTCCTCATCAATCAGCTTTTGCACAGCCTGCAATACTCAAAGAAGTCAACATTGGAAGTTCATTGTCAAAATTAATCATGAAAAATGTTTTTACATTCATATAAATAATAGGAATTGTCCAGAGTTCAGAAAAGTGAAAAAAGGACCACTGCACTACACATTTACATATAAGGGCTCAAATTTTATGGATAAGCATCTAAACCATTAATATTTACTTTGCATGGCCATGTAGCCAACAAGATTATGGTGCATACACACCTTTGTCATGGTTGCAGTTACCAAGATAGTCTGAAAACCTAGGCCATCAGCTTTTGAAGTGCGGTTTTTTAATGGGCCCAGAAATTTGCGTATATCAGGACCAAAGCCTCGATCAAACATTGTGTCTGCCTCATCCAATACCTGAAAAGCATAGACCACCAGCAGTAAGTGAAGCCTGCAGGCTGCAGCTCATGGTTGCTTATTAAAAATTATCAATTGTGAGATACTCACCAAGTATTTGATGTCACCATATACCATATTTCCCTCCTCGATATGTTGAAGAACCCTGCCAGGGGTACCAACTACCATATCAATGGGGTTATTAAGTGAATCCTCCTGAGGCCTAAGCCGGCCACCACCACTTACCATGGTACACCTGAATCGTGCATGATGGCTTATAGACTTTGCAACTCGAAAAACCTATAAAGCCCATTTCATATTAATGTGTGCAATCCAACATAATAGAAGTGATCACTAGAACATGAGTAGAAAGCATTTTACCTGCTCAGACAACTCCCTTGTAGGACAAAGCACAACAGCTCGGGGACGTCTGGGCTTCAACAGTATTCCATTCAGTTGTTCATCCCGTCTTAGCAACTGCAGGTACAGCAACAAATTAACAGAGTCTCAGCTTCCTCAATAGATAGCTAGACAAGTTTGCCTTAGCTAAAGCTAAATAACATAAGAAACAAAAGTAATGAAGGGAAAAGTTCTTCAAAAACAAGTTAAACCAATCTGTAAAATGACATCCCAAACATCAAACAATTAATGGTAACCATTTCCACACATGGTGAAAGCATGAAGTACCACACAAACACATAAAATGCAAAAATACAAATCACTCCCATGTAAAAGCACATGTACAAGTTCCTGCTGTGAAATTAACGTTGCTCATGCCTAGAAAGCATGGATACAAAATGGAAAATAAGACACGATACCACACAAACACAAGATAATAGCAAATTTTAAAACCCATAATATAATACAAGACCATAACACAATGTATAAAACTAGTATAAAATTATCACCCAACTCAAATCTTAAATCTTAAGATAAAAATGAATGAGTCATGCCCATACCTAGTAAATATGGATACAACATGGATGCAGATATGTAATGACCCAGACACAAACAAGAATAGCAATTTTTAAAAATCATAATACAAGACTATGTAAAATTATCACACAACACAAATCCTAAATCAAAAGAGAAAACAATGTCTTAAAAAATGAATATGTAAAATTATCACACAACACAAATCCTAAATCAAAAGAGAAAACAATGTCTTAAAAATGAATAAGAGTCACTCTAAACATAATAAAACATTACATTGTCATATTCCTATCTGTATTGGTATAGAAGTTTGTGTTTAATAAGCATGTAATGTTGGTCTAAAAGATTTTCCGCTATCAACCAATCAAAAATCATCCTCAGTATGACTTCTACAGTAGTTATTATAAAAGTCACCAAACTTATCTTATATGGTGGTTTGTAATTAGATAATAGGGTAAAAATATCTTACATTGTTTGCTAAGGTATAAAGAATTATTCCAAGAAAAAGGGAACTTAGAAATATCGCATTACCATGTTCGATACAAGTTTTAAAAATACATTCCCAAGAATATTTGATTTCCAGAAATATAAAATATTCATTTTCATATTTACCTTACTTTTTTATTCCCAAAGTAAAAGATAGGTTATCTTACATTCTCATGGGAGCGGAAGTCACCTTCTAAAATGGCTACCACATCCCCACTTCATTCTACATTTCTTCTTCTACTTTTATTTTTTCAATTTTTTAATTAAATAAATTATAATCTTTTTCTCCCAACCATTAAAGATAGTTAGACAGGTTTCCCAACAAATATTAATTATCACTAGAACTAATGAATATTTCACACCGATAACATGATTGTAGAAAAAAAAAAATACTAAATGCCAACCAAACATGTTCATAAGAATAATATTCCTACTCATGTTATACCTTAAAACAAACCACCCAAAAAATTTAAAGTATTTTTAAAATATATATAATTTAATTATTGAGTATTGGAACTTTCTTTTTTTTTTTTTTTTGTACCAATGTTATAAGGTTTCGCCTTAGACTAATCTGATTCGAAGGAAAAGTAAGTAAAGTCTGACCAAAGATCATTTCTGTCAAGAATCGAACTCGCATATTGCCGGAACCACATGGACATATCACTATTTTTCCAGCAGGTTCGAACCTAAGACCATTGTATCCCAACTCCCACGCTGACCTATGGTTTTGACACATCACTATTTTTCTCTTTTTAGTTTTTTATTAGTATGAATTACAAATACGGCAGCAAATTCAAACTAAGGGAGGGGTATTAGATTAGGATTTTAAAGGACTTTTTTAGTTAAAAAAAATCTTGCGGATTTTAAAAGACTTTGCAGGATTTTCATGACTTTTAAGATTTTGCAGGATTCTATAAGACTTAAAATCAGGAATTTAATGGATTCTGTCAGACTTTTAAATCAGGATTTTAATAGATTCTGTGGAATTTTGTGGATTTTGTAGAATTTTTGTAGAGTTTTGACATTTGATAAGATTTAAAAAAAAATCATGCATTCAAATTTAAAAAGAGTCAAAGCAAAAATAATAAAAAAAAACAATAATGTCTAGATAAATAATAATAATAATAATTCTCCATAATATCCTATCCTCTTTTTATAGCATCCACTATCAATTGTAACAATTCATCGGAATCCTCCTTAGCCCAAGCTTCGTCTTTTTTTCTCTTTTCCTTTTCCTTTATTATTTCCTTGTGAATCTCCCATTTGAATTACTAAAACAATATATGTTGAAAAGTAGTTATATAAATAATTATGGATAAGAGACAAAATATATAAAATTATATTATTATTTTTAAAAGCACACCAATCATACAAGATCGAATATATCTTGGCTATCCAAATGGATCAAACATCTCAGTTATTATAAAAAAAATGCAAAAACAGAAATATAGAAACATAAGATAATTTTTTATATTAAAAAAAATCAGTATATTTGATACTGGAAAAATATTTAGATATATAATTTTTTTTATATAAACAGAAATATTTAGATATAGAGAATATATATATATATATATTATTTAAGTTGTATATTATATGATAATTATTTAAGTTATATATTATATGATAATTTTTAACGATATTTATAAATGTAAATTATTCTAACAAATATTTTAACAATATTTCCTATTTTTTTTTTAAATAAGCTAATGAAGACATAAATTCTAAATCCTAAAAAATTAGATACTGTAATGTCTTATGTTTTTTTTTTTAAATATAAAAAAATCCTAATTTCACAATATAAAAGTAAAAAGAAAAATTCATAGTAAAAAAAAGAAAATAATTGTTGAGTCATAAAAGGAGGAGGGATCGCAATTTTTATGCTGAAAGAGTTCTTCTCCCAACTAAGATCCATTTTCATCTCATTCTACTCACAGAAACCCTAACAAATTCATCTTATATATGTATATATATATATATTATAGAGATTATGATATCAATTTCATCTTTCACCTTTTTCTTTTCTTGACGTGTGTTATAAAAAAAATTACTACTTGAAAGTTAAAATTTCAAGTATTTTTTTGTGTTATATAAAGGAACAAATTCAACTACATAGAATAAAATAAAGCAAGTCAATTAAAGAGAACGAATAGAAAAATAAAGCAAGTCAATGACACTATCATTTACATATCGGAGTTTCACAAAATAGGGGAATGAGATGAGAACAGTACTACAATATTATATATGAGCAATGAACAATAATGCAATATTATTAGTAGAGAAAAAAATGGAGAAAACAGGAGCATAGAAAAAAAATATGAAAAACTCACTTGAAAATTCTTGAAACAGTCACTTCAAACAATCCTTCAAAATTCGATGGGTTTGGATGGGATTATTTTATGAATCTGGTATTTATAAATAACACTAGAAAGTTCTTCAAAATCCCTCTTATACAACAATCCTTTAAAATCATTATATTTTTTAATACCAATAGATCTCAAATGAATACCAGTGGATTTTAATGGACTCTTTAAAAAATCTTGAAAATTCAGATTGAATATCACTGGATTAATTTTAAGTGATTGTTTTTAAGTGACATAAAATCCTGATTGAATACCAACGGACTTTTTTACTCAAAAAAAATCTTTTAAAATCCTATAAAATCCTAAACCAATACATCCCCTGAGACAACAATGTAGCAACTCCCACCACTAGGCCAACCCTGGAGTTTTAAGATATCACTATCATAAACTTTCTGAGCTCACAATTTACACTGAAAAAATCTCACTTTGAAAACGAATGCAAAACAAGTACCTGAACAAGGGGAAGAAAGTAAGCAAGGGTCTTGCCAGAGCCAGTATGAGACCCCAAAAGAACGCTCTTCTCCTCCAAAACGGCGGGGATACCAATACCCTGAATCTCCGTAGGCACTTCAATTCCCATTTCCCTAACCGCCCCCATGACCTCCTCGCTCACTCCCAACTCCTCGAAGCTCGCAACCACCTTCTTCTCCTTAACCCTCTCATTCTCCGCAACGGAACCACTTCCACCCTTCGCCCTCTTCCTCGGTTCGGGGGCGGTTTTCGCGGCGTCCCTGAGGTGCCGGGCTCGGAGCCTCTCGAGGAGCACCGAGTGCTTCGCGGCGGCGGCTTCTGGTGCCGCCGCGACGGAGCAGAGGGGGCGGAGGCGGAGGGGGAGGCGCTTGGCGAGGAGGCGCGTGAGGGGAGAGGAGGAGGAGAGGGTGAAGAGGGTTCTTCCTGTGGCTCCCGCCATGTGTGTGGCGCTTTGGGGGTTTAGGTTCAGATAACCGAGGGGTCCTTTTAGAATTAGAAGCATTGTGGATATTTTGAAGCATCCATAATGGTTTTGCAAGCCAAATGTAACCCAGCACTCATTAGGATATTTTACTGTTTTTTTTTGTTACAACACACTGGGATATTTTAAATATTTAAATAAAAATGAGGTATAGCATCTTAATTTTAACGGTTTTTTTTGGTATTTTTATGTAATTAAAATTTAAATAAATAAATATTTTTTATTATTTATAGTGAAAATTTAAATTATAATATGAGATTGTTTTTAATTATTAACTATTTTTTTAAAATTACTTTAGAGATAAAAGAGAATAAATTGAAAGAGAACGATGATTAAATCTCGGAAGGTGATAAGTAGTCTCCTTAATCAGATAAGAAGTGATAATTTGGTGAAATGTATTTAATGCACCAATGGACACTTTACTTTATAAGGAAAATGAAGAAAGACAAAGAAGCCTATGAGAAAAACTCAAGAATTTGTAACAGTCATTTTCATGAATCACCAATATAAAGAAGCTTGAAGATTCACAAAGATGGAAAAAAGTATTTGTAAAAAATTATTTCATTCTTTTTGTAAAATTATATGTACTTAAATTGGTTTTATCATGCCTTATGAGTAACACAAAATAAGTAATTTTTTAACTTTAACTTTGTATTATAACTTGCATCTTAAAGGGTCTTTGTTATAAAGAATATTTGGTTGTTAAAGTCTAAAGAGACTTTATTTTTCAAAAAATATTAAGGTGGTTGCTTGAAGAGTCAAGGCAAAGAATACTTACTTGAGTCATAAGTAACTTATGCATGAAGTTTGTATCTTTGCAAAGATAGTAACATTTGATTAAGTTAATCAAGAACTGAATATATTCTCGGTAATTGAGACAGACCAATATAACAATATTGTGCTTTCTTTGCTTTTTACTCTTCGCCTACATTATTAAGGTCTTAATACTACTTTGATTTCGAAAAAGTGTTGAATCTTTTATTGACACTATTTAACCCCTCTTTCTAGTGTAATTTTTTTTCTCTACACACCTCCTCGTACCAAGGACTACACATCTCAAGCCTAACATTTATAGGACTAAACATTTATGGGTCTAATAACGGCTTATAGCAAATGGCTTTATAACTCCAACAACAATCAATAATCGTAAGCATAGGCTCTTATATCATATTAAGAAAGTGGTTTGGAGTTTAGCTCAACCTTACAAAATTGACTTATAAAATAAAAATTCTTCCACATTTATATACCCATGTATGACCATTTAACTAATCGAAGTGGGATCTCCAACAAAAAGATTAATTATCAACAAAATCAATAGATATTTTGTACTAATAATATAATTATTAAAAAAAATCCTTACAAGAATTGTGAAAGAAATATGATTTGGGAATCCTGAAAACAATTTTTTGGCTAGTTATATATGTAGTGTACGAAATACATGTTTGAATAAAGCAAAGAGAAAACATTGAAAAATGAATAATAATAAAAGAAGAGAAGTGAGTATTCTTCTAAAGATTGTTGACTTTAGTTTATAATATAAGATTAGATTTGAGATTTTTTTCATCTTAATGAATATTTAAAAACAAATATTTGTTATTTTTTAAATTTTACAAAATAAGTAATGAAAAAAATCATTAAGTTTACTCTTTTATATGATTATTATAATAGTAAACAAAGTAATTTTGTTGTAATTATTTATGAAAAATGAGAAAGAAAATATATGAAAAAAAGATAGACACTAGAAGGGAGGTTGAATAGTGTATATCAAAAACTTGCACGTTTACAATTCAGTGAAGTAGTATCTACGACAAACCAAGTGTTAGAAAAAGGAATCAATGAGTGCAAAAAGTTTTTAATCCTAGTTTATCTCAACCACTAAGGCTGTGTCCAATTCTTAATCCAACTACATTAATTTCAACTAACTTTCAACTTTCAACAAATTGCAAGTATTCTTTCACCAAGTCACTTCTAGCTCAACACAAGTGTTCTTTGATTGGTCTTTTTAGGTCACTACCCAAGTATTCTTTTTTACAAATAAGTCTCTCCAAGCTCAATCCTAAGCATTCCTTTTTAGACAAGTCTCTCCAAGGTCTACCCTATAACAATAATTATAAAGGTATTACAAGGTTGTTGTTGTTGTCTCCTTTAGACATGAATACAATGAAAGTTTAAGTGCAATGTGTGTGGTTCTCTCTTGTGTTGTATATGTGTTCTCTATATCTCTTGAGTTTCAAAGCTTCTTATATAGTAGCTTCGAAAGAGATGATTGTTGCATCTTCTTAAGTCTGATTCACAAAATTGCTTTATCTTACTCCTTCATCTAATCTAGAGAGAAGAATTATGTGTTGGTGCATTAAATGCTTCAATTAATGTTTTTCACCAAAATGTATTCTGTTTCTTTGACAGATCAAGCTGCTTATTAAAGCATTGGTGGCGACTCCTAAGAACCTATTTTCAAAATCATTGATTAAGGATTAGTCTAGCGTCCGGGCATTCCTTAATTAATGAGATTTTTAAAAGGATGTCTAAATCATAGGTCAGAAGATCAGAAATTTTCGGGTTGCGACAATGTGCAATGTCCAGCAGCAAAAATATGCACATAAAATTCATTTTCACACTCAAATCATCAAACAACATGTAGGCATATCAAGTGCACAAGGAAATATTCGAAGATGGCCAAAATTTTTGAATAAATGATGTGTAAAGAAATTAATCACACATGAGAAATTAAGTGATTTAGAACATGCTAGGACTAATTAGCATGCATGATTGACCCTCTAAAGCGCACCAGAGACTCACGACCATTTCATCAAACAAGTGGTATGCATGTCATTTTTTTTATCATTTCAAGGTTAAAGCATGAATACTTGGAATTCTTTCAAGGTGGGTTCAAAAGAGACAAGTTAATGACAAAACCGAATGGATTAAAAAACAAAATATATCATATCATCAATGTTTCACATGCAACCCAAAATTTCCAGCAACTCAAACTTAAAAAGAAAATGGTAGAACTTAGGCAAAGATGCCTAAAACACCAAGATGATTCACAAGGATGAAGATGGCATGAATTAACACATGAAGAAAGAAAAATGGATCATGAAAATATGGTAAGGTGATGACCCACTCTAGCACAACAATTTTGACAAGTAAGAAGACTCAAGAACATGACTGAAAATTTAAAAAAAGGACTAGATGTTTTTAATGCATGTCAATGCTATGGTAGGCTCACACATGAGTTGTTTTATTCCTGACAGTAGTACTGAACCTTTCCAATCTAAGTGGCGACATTTGATAAATCATCCTAAGTAGAGTCAATACTAGAAGGATTGTATTCTAAGTCGGTTATTATTCCATTTCTACATCGGTTCTAAAACCGACTTAGATGAAGGCAACTTAGATGAATGAACATATCTACATTAGTTATGTAAAAACTGACTTAGATGTATGTGTTCATCTAAGTTGGTTTTATTAAAACCGTCTTAGAAGTATACATGTGAATGACAACCCAGAATGCTCAACCACCTCTTTTACAGATGAAAATGATTTTTCCCAAATGTCTTCACAAAGCTCTTCAAATTTTTCACGCATTATTATGCTCCTATAAAAAAAATGAACCATGAATATTCTAAATATCTTTAGAAGATTAAGTTAGTTTTTTATAAGAATATTTTATTTATATTTCAAATATTTAGATTTAATCTGTTCTGATTATTTTAGGATTTGTTTCCTTATTTTAGAATAGGATAATATTAATATTTGATTTTGTATAACAAATTTCTCTATAAATAGAGACTCATGAATAAAATTATATTATGCTCCTCTGATAAAAAAAAATAAGTCTTATAAAATATCCTCTCAAACAAATATCATTTACACGTAACTGACCCCCGAACCCAATTCTGGTATCAAGGCCATTATTGGATTTTTAAAAAAAACCTTTTCTTTTTCCAATGTTTTGAGTAAAACATTGGTGGCGACTCCTAAGAACCTATTTTCAAAATCATTGATTAAGGATTAGTCTAGCGTCCGGGCATTCCTTAATTAATGAGATTTTTAAAAGGATGTCTAAATCATAGGTCAGAAGATCAGAAATTTTCGGGTTGCGACAATGTGCAATGTCCAGCAGCAAAAATATGCACATAAAATTCATTTTCACACTCAAATCATCAAACAACATGTAGGCATATCAAGTGCACAAGGAAATATTCGAAGATGGCCAAAATTTTTGAATAAATGATGTGTAAAGAAATTAATCACACATGAGAAATTAAGTGATTTAGAACATGCTAGGACTAATTAGCATGCATGATTGACCCTCTAAAGCGCACCAGAGACTCACGACCATTTCATCAAACAAGTGGTATGCATGTCATTTTTTTTATCATTTCAAGGTTAAAGCATGAATACTTGGAATTCTTTCAAGGTGGGTTCAAAAGAGACAAGTTAATGACAAAACCGAATGGATTAAAAAACAAAATATATCATATCATCAATGTTTCACATGCAACCCAAAATTTCCAGCAACTCAAACTTAAAAAGAAAATGGTAGAACTTAGGCAAAGATGCCTAAAACACCAAGATGATTCACAAGGATGAAGATGGCATGAATTAACACATGAAGAAAGAATGATCATCAAAACTTCTTTAGGCTTCAAGCTCTCCTAAGCTTAACACTTGCATGGAAACTTGGAAGAACAACAATCTTCTCCAAGTGCTTCCATCAAGAGCACAACAACAAAGTGAGAAAAATAGGAAGCAAAGTCAATGTGCAACAAGTAGCACTTTTCCTACGCCTTTTCCGTGAGATTCGAGATTTTTGTCCTTTATTATAATGTTCTACATGCCTTTATACACCTTTAACAGAATGTGAGTTCCAAGACAATGGCTCTCGATCTATTAAGGTATAAAGCATTCATTTGAAAATTCAAACGTGTTAGTCACAATAAGTAGTAGACGTTAAGAACATGACAAACAATTGTATGTTTCATCTTACTGATGCTACTTCATTTTACATAGTTTGAAACAATGATTTTTTTAAACAT